CATCACCAGGATCACCATCAACACTACCATCACCACAATCATCATCATCACCATCACCACCAGCATCACCACTAACGTGTTTTGCTATTCTGAGAAAGGACGTGACAGATAATCGTATCACTTCTGATACTGAATTTAGCATCATGGATCTCTCACTGAGGTCTGCAGATGTGAAAACTTACTTCTCTACAGAGTAAGTAGGCAAGGGGCCCCTGGGATGAACAAGGAACACAGCGGGTCTCTGAACAAAGTGACTTCCTCGTTCTCTCCTTAAGAAGTGACCCACATGGACTTCTTTTTTAACTTACTGCTTGAACATTCTCCACAAAAACAGTATAGCTTTTACAACAGTTTATAATCAAAGAGAACGTACACCGATGTTTACAATCAGTTGAGGAAGTTCCTGAGAATAAGTCCTTTGAAAAACCGCAGAGGGCTAGCCATTTTTCCCATACCTTACTTCAGTAAAGACCTCGGATATCATGGAATAAACCCTCCTGGCTCTTCACACAGACCTGCAACACGTGTGTAGAATACATACCTATCCTTTGCACGTGACCTACCTTTGTGCTAAAAATAGGCTCCGGCAGACAGTAGCCACTCATAACGTTGGTCAGGTTTTCCAGGACATTGTGGAAAACCTGGTGCAGTTTCTCTCCCATGATGGGCAGAGTTTGCTGGGAAGGGAGCGCTCCTGTGAATGGCTTGGCCTGAGGAGACACAAGAACCAGAGGTCAAGGACACCTGCCTCCTGAGTGAGACGAGAGAAACGGAGGGGCGAGGCAGATCTACCAGTACAGTCCACAATATAATCAGGATGAAGCCTGAGGGAAGAAGAACAAAAAACCCCAGAAGAACACATACTGGAAAGTCAAAATTGCTAAAACCCCACCCAGATGTGGGTTTCCCAATTCCACCCCCCCACACCCCCCGAGAATGCCATAGTCCCTTGTTATGCACTCCCAGTGATTTTGGAGGAAGTTAGATTCTTTTGTTTTGCTCTGCTTTCTAATCAAAATTATCTCCCTGTTTTCCCTATTTATTTTCCATCTTCATTGAATCCCGAAGATAAACAACCAGCAGGATGGAAATTAAGGAAATTCTCATGCAAATGTCCCAGCTTTTTGTATATCATAAACATTTAGCCTTAGAGAACCAAAAAAAAAGAAAGCTCCCCAAGGGGCAACCCTGACCCCAGGAGCCCATTTGTTTATTCATTCATCCTATAAATGTCCACTGAACACTTCCTACGTGCAGCCCTGGGACCCAGGAGCTTTGGGATGAGCTATTCTGCTGGCCTGGAACCCTCAGCTCCCTGCCCCTTCCTCTGTCCCAGCCCTGTGGGCTTGTCTCGTCCTTCGAGATGAACTGGAGGGTCTCCTTCTCCACAATCTGGTGCTGGCTTCTCCAGCTGGGCACCCACAGCGGGGGCCAAGGGCAGCCCCCTCCTACTGCACTTCCGGAGCTGAATGACAAGGGTGCATCTCATAGGCAAACGTGAACCCCCAGGGACTGGTGGCCGGGCCCTGCCTCATGAACCTGGCGCAGAAAATGGTTGCTGAAAGGAATCGCATGCAGGCACACACACCTTTCTGGTGATCTGAAAAGGTTCAGTCTATTTCTGGCTTTGGGAAGCCTCTACAGAGAATAATGAAAAAATGAGAAGGAAACTGATAGAATATTCTGGAAAAAAGAGGCAATGTGGTTCTTTTTTCAATAATCTTACCAGCTTTCCCCCCTCCTCCCCTGGCATATATACTAATTATTACAGAAAAAAAAACACGATACAGGCATGAATGACTACCTCTCCATATGCATGCTTTGCTTAGGAGGGTGTAAACGCTCATTCATTCAGCAGCAAGACCTGCTTTTTTCTGAGTACCCATATGACCCACGCACCGTGCTAGGCACCAAGAATACAGTGATGAAGAAGAAAGTAGTCCTTGACCTCAGAACTCCCAGTTTCATGGGAAGGCTTAACAATTAATTATAAGAATCTAAATTGGAAGTCCCCCTTGAGCTTGACTTCAGGGCCATACATATCACAGATACTCTAGTACCCCCTCTGCTGGTCCCAAGGAGGGGGTGCTGCCCCCACAGCACCCGAACCTCTGTATATGCATCCAAAAAATATCTTTGCAGCACCTACTACATGCCTGCCCTGTTTTAGGCACTGGGAATCTAGCAGGGGGCGAGAAAGACAAAATGCACTGGTCTCTTGGTGCTTCCAATCTAGCGGATGCCAAAAATTGGGACCAATGGGAAAATCAGTGAGAAAAGTCGTCTGTCTGATCACGAATGACAGTACCAGGGAGAGAAGGATAGCAGGGCAGGAGGATGGGGAGTGTAAGGTCGGGTGTGTGTGTGTGTGCCATTTTTTAAAGGGTGGTCAAAAAAGGAGCCTAAGGAGACAGGGCAACTCTACGTAATACACTAACCTGGATGGGTTCCTGGATTTGGCTAAAAACTAAAGAAATCATACAGTCGTGTTCACTGTGGCATGATTCACAACAGCCAAAAGACCGAAGCAACCCAAGTGTCCATCGATGGATGACTGGATAAACAAAATGCATGCTATACGTACCATGGAATATTACTCGGCCTTAAAAGGGAATGAAGTATGGACACCTGCTAGCACATGGATGAGCCTTGAGGACGTTATTCTAAGTGAAACAAGCCGGCCACAAAAAGACAAGTGTTGTACAATTCCACTAATAGGAGGTTCCTCGAGTAAGCCAGATTCAGAGAGACAGTGAGAGCACCTGCTAGGGGCTGGGGGAGGGAGGAACGGGGAGTTTGTGTTTAATGGGTGTTAAGAGTTTCAATTCGGGGGCGCCTGGGTGGCTCAGTTGGTTAAGCGACTGCCTTCGGCTCAGGTCATGATCCTGGAGTCCCGGGATCGAGTCCTGCTCCACGGGGGGCCTGCTTC